CCCCCCAGGGGAAGAAGGGACCTTAGCGGGGAGTAACGCCCAGCTCGCCGGAGCCTGCTGGTGGTTTTTGTGCTGGTTGTTTTGTTTGTTTGTCTTGTTTTGTTTTGTTTTGGGTTTTTTTTTTTTGTGCTTTCTGAGGCTGCGGAGCGTTACATCGTTGGTCGGGGCTGCGGGAGGGCCCCGGTGCGGGGGGAGCGGTGCGGGGCACGGGCTGCGTGGGGAAGGACCGAGCTCGGAGATAAACCCTTTAGAGAGAGTTTGGGTTTCTCTCGGTGCGGGTCCGTGAGGTGCAAAGCAGCCGTTAAGCACCTGTAGAGCCTGAGAGCCCTTTCCTGGCCGCCCAGCCGTGGGGTACCCGCTGTTACACCCCTGAGCACGTTGGGCACGATTTGCAACTAAAACGAGGATTTTTGGCACTTTTTCTCTCTTTTCCTGTACTCAGCTACGCGGTGGTGTATTGTTTCTTCGCTTAGGTTTATGTAACAAGTGTAACATCCGTCTGTTATTAGTACATAAACTTGTATCTATTCTATCAGAAAAGCGGCTGCCTTAAAAAAATCCCCTTTTAACTGTACTGATTGTGCTGGTGCCACGGTCAGGGCTGCTGAAAGGAGAAATTCACGTTTTAAATCAGGAATAATGTTAGAGCAGGTGAAGGGGAGGAAGGAGTGTGGGTGTAACTTGATACGAACATGAGCAAACTCTCTTCTGTTTACTTGGAAGGCAGGGTTTGGAGAAAGAAAACTTTGGTAGGCTGGGCACATTTGCCAATGGAGGCTCCTGGAAATGCAGGGAACTTTTCTGAAGAACAAGTACTTTGACCACAGGCTTTTTTCTCCCTTCCGTGGCTGTGTCCTGCTGCATTGCTGGGTCCCTCAGGCTGTTTGCTGGTCAGTTTCTTCATTCAGTTAGCACAACAGCAAGTAAAGCATTCCCCTGAGCAGCTGGGAATACAGAGGTGTTTTTATAAGCCAGGAAGTCAGTGTAGTGTATGAATGACACAAATGTCAATTTATACTTAGATACGCATGGAAAAGCAAGGTCAAAACTGATTTAATTTACCCACGTCTTTAATTTGTTCATTAAATAGATGTTTGTGAAGCTGGGTTTTTCTCCCTGTGGTCAGACAGATGAAAGCATTGTCATTGTAGTGGTTTGGGTGGTTTAGAGGAAATGCCATCATGCTGAAGGCAAAGAGGTATCGTGAAGGCAGGTGAGGTTTCCATTAGTGTTCATCACCTGCTGTGCATGCCAGACTGGCATATGGTTGACCAGAAAGGTCAATCTCCATCCTCAGAGATACTGAAAACTCAACTGGAGAGGTCACTGAGCAACCCAAGATAACTTGCAGGACATCCCTGTGAAAGTGCCCCTTACCCTAAATCAGGGGTTAGAGCTGAGAAAGCTCCTCTTGCAGTGCAGTTTGTAGGGACCTCTGTAGGCACCCACTGTTGGCTCTGTGTTCACTGCAGTTCTCAGAGCAGAGACCCTCATGTTCTGAG